GGGAGTAATTACATTGTTTCTAAATTTATTTACATATTGGAGTGGTCTTTTATAGATTACCCGAACGACTTTTTGTTGAAACACATTGAAACGAATATCAAGCGTAACGCACATTTATTGGGGACTGGGAGACGTGACGTACGGGGACATCTCTGGGGCAGTGACACAGCTGCGTTGCTGAAATGCCTTGATGCTCCGCCGTCTGACGTGTTGGACGAGCAAAAAGAGTATAAAACTCCAAACGACTCGACAAAAGCTCGATTTGAAGTGGCAGTTGTTGCAGAGTGTCTATGGCTGCATAACCTGGTAAGTTTCGATTACTGAGGTGAAATTTGAAGATGGTCTTATTTATTGTTGGCTTCCCAAGCATGAAGACTTGCTGAAATCAATCGACGCGTGTCTGTCACCTGGAGGAAAGGTGCGACATGTTCTTCTTCTATCTAAATCGCATTGTCTGTTAATGTTGTGATCGAAATTGCTGTGTCTTAACAGGTATTTGTAAGTTTTGCCCACCACGCCCCAGGCCACGAAGAGCACGATTTATCGTTCTTTATCAAGGCGAAAAAGCTATTCGGGTTCGACGCTGTCCATCTGGACACGCTAGCTTCCCCGCATATCTTCAATGCCGACAGAATCGTCGACCAGTATTTGTACATGCTCACCAGGTCGAGAACGAGTGAAAAGCAACCTAAAGTATGGTGACGGCACCGCAAACGTGGATAAACTCACGATAATGCGTCTTGGCACCATTAGACCCTGACCAGTACAGTGGCATGGCGATTCCCACACAAAGATGCTGTTCGGCACACTATGACTTGGTACCGCCACACGATGCATGAAAAGCACCCGTTTCGTGCATGAACGTGGCCCCCGCGCGCGTGGAAGGAGCTGAGTGCGCGCAGCAAAGGGCCTGGAGCGTGTGCTTCCACTTCGACTTGCGGCCAATCAGACCGAGCCCCCCCCATTTCGTGAAGCAGAGCAAGCGAGCGATGCCCCGGACGCTGCCGTGGAGAGAGGTGGGCACCGAGCTCAGTGCCGACGATGCGGAAGCCATGCTGAGCAGGATGAAGAGGCACAACACGGGGAAGAACAGCGCAATGCCGTGTACGGCTTGTGGCGCCGGCTCGCACCACAGCATGCGGTACAAGTTGCTAATGTGCGAGTCGGCGACCTGTAGCGGCGTCACCTGCTCGTGGCGGGGCAAGGTCCTCGTTTGTTCCGACAGTGGTGAGTTCTACATCTACGAGCTAGGTGATCACTTCACCGCCTCCTCCTCTCCCAAGCGTGCTAGGCTGTCTGGAAGGCAGAAAGAGTTCTGCCGTGAGCTCGCCAATCAGCGGCTGCGACCGTTGCGCATCCAGCACGCGATGGCCCGGAAGTTCCAGCTTCCTGCGGACGACCTCCCTCCCTTGAACAAGGTGCAGAACTTCTGCAATCACTACTCGAAGACGGAGCTCGAGAACCACGACCGGCTGGAGGACCTCAGCCAGTGGATCCACAGCCGAGCGTACACCGGGAGCGAGGGCGACCACGACACGTTCACCTTTGCGTGGGATCTCGATGAGAGCGGGAAGCCAATCATCGGCGACGGTTCAGACGAGGAGCCCTTCGTTGTGGGGCTGACAACAAACGCGTTGGTGCGAAGGCTCACCTTGCCCTCCAAGTATTACGTACTGCACATGGACGCCACCTTGAAGATCAACACCGCGGAGTATCCGGTGATCGTCATCGGCATTTCCGATCGTGCGCGCAGCTTCCATCTCGTGGCGTTGTTTGTGGTGTCCCAGAGGCTGCAACCAATTTACGAAAGCTGTCTGGCAGCGCTCAGCCGGCTCTACATCTGTATCACGCAGCCGATACTCATGCCGCGATACGTCATGGGCGACGCTGAACAAGCCCAGCGCAATGCGGTTTTCACAGTGCTCCAGAGCAACCCTGGCATGGAGTATCTGATGTGCTTCTTCCACGTCATGACCAATGTGGAGAAGCACATGAAGGGATTACCCTCGCACTTAGCGGGTGCATTAGTGCGAGGGCTGTATGACATGCATTTCGCCCGTGACCGGACCAGCTTTTCCTATCTGCGGGACCAGCTCTTGTGGGCCTGGAGGAACTACCCGGGGCTGGTGGACTTCTGCGACTACCTAGAGGCGCAGTGGCTGCGTGGACCGTTCTCAATGTGGCAATGCTACTCAACGCCGAGTGGCTTTGCCACAACGAACAATCCTGCTGAGCAATTCAACATGGTGTTGAAGCGGGATTATACGTTGCGGCGGCGCCTAAAGATGAGCATGCTGTTGAAGGAGCTGAGTGACAGCTGCATGCACGAATCGGCCAGGCAGCGACCATTCCGAACGGAGCCTGAAGCGGTACCCACGCTGACTCGACGCGTGGGGGAGCTCGTTCGGGAGAAGTTGCTCTTAAGGAACTGCGACGCGGACAGCGTCGTGGGGGACGCCGGAGTCGTCCACGTCTTCGAGTATCCCGCGAAGCGCATCGTCGTGGAGGGGGCCACGCGAACCACGGAGGAGGCGATTGCCGTCTCAGCCCAAATGGGTGTCAATTACGCCAGGATGGAAGTGCAGAACGAGCCACCGTATGGGTGGCCCGTTCGGTTACGGAGGAAGTGGTGTCCCTGTAATTACTCCTTCAAGTTCGGCACCTGTGTGCACCTTATTTTCGCGCTTCGGGCTACGGATCGCATGGATGGTGCAGGTCGGCGCATACTCGTGAGCAGACGTATTGGACAGAAGCGTGGAGCAGCAGGCACCGACGCTGCGGGGGGTCGACCGCGAGCAATCGGACCTGCACTATCTGCAGACTGACCCAGCACTCGCGGATGGGCACGTAGGAGAGGATCTATAGCGGCACGGAGCCTGACAAGGGCCAATGCATATTGAACAAGTGAGTACATCCACAACAGAGCTTAAAGTTTTCCTGCACTTGAACTACGTTGATTTTTCTGCAAGATTGTGTTGGGCGACGTTGCCGTCCTGCAGGCTCGGGTTCTTCCAGCACTTGTTGCACGCGCACTTGAGCCAGCGCTGGCTACCATAATGGACAGTCACTTGGGCGCCTGCAGACACATTTTTGATCATCTTCACTAGCACGCGGACTCTCGACCGCGTCTGTTGCTCGATAAAAGCTGCGTTGGGCTCGCAGGCGTGCGAGATGAACCTCGTGATGGAGCCGCAATTCAAGGCATCCACGTAGACGAAGTTCCTGTTGACGGACTTCGCGTTGTACAGCAGCGTGTAGCCACTGTTCTCCATGACGGCTTCCCGTGGTTGCCCTTCCACCACTGCATCAGCTCCCACAGTACTCACCCAGGACGTCGCCGACTTCGAGATCCGTGTTGGTGTACACCCCGAGGCCTACCCGACCGGTGTCGAAGAGCTTCAACGTGTCCAGCGTCCGCGGTGCGTTGCTGCACCTCGCCCCGAGCTTGCAGTACTTCGGGGTGCAGAACGACGCGGACGCCACGTTGGAGCACGTATCCCAAAAACAGTCGCCGAAACACTTGCATGCGTCGACTGCCCCGATGTCCGGGAACTTAACGCCGTTGCGCTTGCAGCTCGAAATGGGCTCGACGTCTGACGGCCATGGCACCGTCTTGAGCAGCGTGCGAGCCTGCTTCGCTGCTGGATCCTGGAACACATCCCGTCCAGCGTGCAGAGTCTCCAGCTGCTCTCTCACCTCAGGGCTGTTCTTCAAGGCCTTGAACTTGACGGCCTGTAACGTCTTCGCGTGGTAGATCTCCGAGCCGCTCTTGGTGATGGCGCACTTTGCCAGATAGTGGCGCTTTCTCGATCTCGGGACGTGCCATTGCCCTCGCGTTTTCTTCGCCTGGTGGCGGATCTTGGCCCGGGCGTGGCGGTTCGGGATCGCCCGCACATACACAGCCGCCTCAACTTCGCTTGCTGGACTTGGTTCGGCAGACTTAGCACCGGAAAGCATTCCACTCTCATCACACGACGACACCAAGTCGATAATCTCCCTAATAGACGATCTTTCGTACGCTTGCTCGCTTCGTGCCTTCTTCTCCGACCGTGCTGGAGCTTTACCACCGCTCGCTGCCGCCGCCAACGGCCGGGTTGGAGTGCTGGGCAGCTCCACCTGGCTCAAACTCGGCGCTGGCTCGGGAGAGCTGCACGCGCTGCTCTGGGGTGTCTCTGGAACGATCTCCTCGCTTTTATCACGTAGCGCCTCCCGAACGGACTCGATTGCAGCATTGATTGCCCCGGCAAGCGCTGAATTGAGTGCGCTGGCCCTCGATGGAGCTGCAAACGTCCCTGCGACGAGCTTGAACGTCCGTAGCTTCCTCCAGAGCGAGGCACTGGGATCTAGCTGCTTTCCAGACGCAGCAATGACTCGCTTCATCATCATGTCGCCCGGGATTACGTCCCCGGTGTCCAAATCGACCGGGAAGTTCACGTCCGCGCTGTCGTCAATGCAAGTGACGACGGCGCGCCGAAAGCCCTTGGGGTCTCCACAGACGAAGAAACGGCAGTAGTACTCGATCGTGTCACCAGCACACAGAGGCTCTGTAGACAGCTCAGAGGCGCTGAGGCCCGGCATGCTGCTCTGGTGTGTGCTGGGGCGCGTGCGGCTTTCCGGGTTGGCGGCGCTGCTGCTGCTCGTCGATAGCTTCCGCGAGATACTGACTGGAGTGTGCCACCTAAACGTGGCCCAAATTTGGGTGTGGCCCACCCCAGTCAGTGGACCTTGCATGCTCATCCTCGGCGGGAGCACATCGCGCCGGATGCGCCACCCGGCTGTGCGCGCTGCCGCAGCGGGGCGTCCGAGAATGACCTCTCCATGCATAGTGTACGGTGATTTTCAGGCGGGTTCAGGTGAACTTAACGTTTTCTTCACCAGGTCCAAATAACAGTGCAATCATGTTCCAGATCCCATGACATGGCAAAAAAATGCATTGATGAAAGTACTATAAACCAATAGAAAAGTACTTGGAACCCACATGCTAAAAGTTGTGGATACCATTATCCCAAGAATGTGGCGATGGACAGGTCCGGCAGCAAAAGGCCGTCACGTCCACAGCTGATTGTGTGACGCTCAGTCGAGAATTGAGGGTTGTTCTCAATAAACTCGAGGTAGTCGGGCGCACCAGGTCGCACGACGTTGTCTGCAGCGATAACAGAGCCGGGAGCCAACGTGTGACTGCCGATAATCAGCTTCAGATCGGACAAATAGACCGTCTTCTCGTGGTCGATGACTGTTAGCGAAGTACTGCGACAGCTGCAGACACTTTAGTGGAAAGAGATTATTTTCAATACAAAAAAGGATGGAATTCAACACTTCTATAAAAAGGATGCTTTTCAATAGTGAAAAGGTGGTATTAATGTACTTTGCCCCGTTTATTTGTATTACAGCTGTGTGTGCTACAACATATTGATATTTTTAGACATCCTAGTATGACACGAGACGGCACATTCACCAGCAGACGCTGAACCGCAGTCATGAGCGACGATGAACAAGATCCGGAGGTCTCACCGCCTGAGGGTGAGACTGCTAACGCCAGACAGAGTTCATTCCGGTTTATCTCAACACATTTTACTGAAGGTGCAGCTCTTACTGCGCTACACAGTGTCGATACATCTGAATACAATCATCTACGCTCGTGCGGGCCGACAGAACGTCGCAAGATTGTCGACACTTGCATTTTGCATGAGGCGTCTACGGATCCTTAAGATTTCATAGTTCAGTTCTACTGCTTCATACAAAGATGGAGCTAGTGGTACCCATTGCCAGTCGCCAACGCACCGAAAGTGATATGGTATTGACATGCAGATTAAACTAGAGGTGGATAGCATTCTTCAAGGTGGCGCAGGTCCAAAAACGATACAAACTTTTACTACAGAAGAAATATAAACTTGAATCAACTATGACAGCAAACCAAACAAATTCCAGTTCAAGACAGCGATGGAAACATCACTTTGAGAAATTTGCATCGCCGAGTTGTCGATTGCAACTTTCCATTGGATCAAATGTGTCTACAACTGGGCGGTTGAGTTCAACAATCGTGCTAGGCAATGCTGCGCTGATTAACAAGGTTCATTACGAAGGGTTTAGCGTTACAGCGCGTCTTTTCTAGTCGAAGCGTGAATCACGACATCGTGGTGATAACCATAGTAATTTCTAATACCACCTGCTCTGCATAATACATACAGAAGTATCGATTTCCATCCAATGGAAATTGTATTGAAAAGCATCCGATTTTGTATAGCAGATAAGCCGCACCCCAATTTAGTCACGTACGTCGACGGTCTTGCCACGCAGCACTTGATACTGCTCGGAGAACGCCCCAACATACACCGTCATTTGATTCACTAGCCCCGCAATCTCCACCATCTCACGAACGCGAGCAGCGAATACTGGCGAGTATTCAAACGAGTAGTAATGCGACTCCTTGCCGACGACCTCGCGCTGCAGACTCGCGAACCTCACGGTACTGAAGCCAGTGTAAGCGCCCAGTTTTGCCATCACGACTGGCTTTTTCTTGCGGATCTCCTCGTCAACCACTGCTCCCTTGACTTGGTTAATGTTCATCACGTGGTTCGTGGACGCGAACTTGTCGATGCAGTTGATGACGGAGGTCGGATTGCCGCGCTCTGCGTGTTGTTTGACGTATTCGAGGCACTTGGCCGAGCTGGAATAGCCAGGACGTTCAGTTAGAGATAGTCATACATTTCACAGAGATAGGAATTACGCGCTTCTCGTCCGTCCAGCGGTCAATCTGCTCCTTTGTGGGTCTGGGGCCGTTGCCCCACGGTCCATTGAAAGTTGGCTGTGCACTCATAATGACGGTGAGCTTGCGTGGGGAGATGGAGAGGGGGGGGCTTGCAGTGCAGATTGGAGAATGAGCTAACTAATTCGTTAAAGCCTCTGCTTTGAAGGGAGCAAAGCAGAGAGAATTCCCAGTCCATCGACGCATCAACAAATGCTTGAAGGGATTATGACCAAGCCTGAATGCTTGCCAACTACAGGACAAGAGATTGCCAACTACAGGACAAGAGATTGCTTATCTAACATGGGATTCGAACAGCTGTATGACACAACAAAGCTGGCCTCGTTCTCCCAAGTTCTTTTGTGTATGTAGCCATTTTGGCAATGTTCTAAGTAAGCTAAAAATAAAACACACTTATAATTTCTTAGCGCAGAGCTTAGTTATTTTAACAAATGAAAAAAAGTGTTATAATGATTCGTAGTTTATTGATGCTTGTCAATTGGACACAAACTGGCGGAATCAAATATCGGACAGCAGCATATACAGCGTGAGTTTCCCGATTCTGGGTTTCTTCTCCCCGTTGTCAGCGCTCGTGATAGAACGAGTCGTCCGTGTCAAGTCGATGGGAGGCAGCTTTCTAGTCACCACGGCACCATTATCTGCACGATCGGCGCCTTTGTGAGACTTCTTATCGAGCAGAGACTTGAGAAACTTCATCTTGAGCAGTAGATCTGGCAGTTAAAGCGGACGACACGCCGGAGATGCAAGAAATGCTGCTTGACGTATGCAAATTTGCGAATGATTCAATGGGCAGCAATTGCAAATTAACATTCCATCGGAATGCATGTAGATCATGCGCGAATATTTGTGGCAAGGGAATCTTCCCGTCTCAATACCGGACATGTACCGCGATCAGTAATGCATGGACTATCCGTGCTCAAACCGGAGCCACGAAACAGCACTAAATTTGTGAAAATTACTAAAGTGTGTCGTTTTGCATCATTAGAGCGTCTCTAAAGGTCGGTCAAAGGCTCGTTCTCAACCGGGCGCATCGCACGGCATCGCATCGCTCACTTCTGTACCGTGCGACCGCATCGGTTGAGAATGATCTGTGCGACGCGGTAAAACCAGCTGCATAAAAAATCGCACCTAACAGAGGTAAGTGATCCTTTCAGTACGGAAAACTCCACTTCCAGAACGCCCCCTCAGGCAAGCAACCAAGACGCGCACGGTGAGTTCCCATTAATGAATTGGGTTATATAAGTGCTAAACTGACGCTCTCTGTGAAGAATGTCTTCATTTACCAATGTCCCTAGCGAGTCAGCTCAAAAGCCCCAGCAGGGCGTCCAGCGACACTCTTTGAGCCAAATTCTCGAGCATTCGTCACATTCAGTGTGCTCTGCGGCTCCTTCACTTGACCCTACGCATCCAGAGACCGCTACGTATGCTGGATTTCACAGTGGATAAGCACAGCAGCCTCTTGGAGTATAGTTTTTACACCCACCCAGCTCAGAGTCGTTCCAGTCTCTCGTGGCACGGTCTCAGGTGGAAGTTGAGCTTGATAAACGTGATGAATCTGAAGAGGAAAAGAGCTGCAACAATGGTGTCTCTGTCGACTACTCGTCATGGAAGGCAGACGAAGTTAGAAAGGAGTGCACTCGTAGAGGACTTATAGTGAAGGGAAATCTCAAGAAAGACGAACGCATTACGATACTCATGCACCACGACATGCTCCAAGCTTCAATCGGTTCCAGCACTATTGACTCAACTTCGGTCGGTGCCAGGACTAGGCACTGCATGTACCGACTATTAGATCTGCTATTCTCTGATGAATTCGCCACGCGTTTCAGTCAGTCGGGTACGACGTATTGCTATATCACTATCGAAAATAATATATCTAATGAATTTGGTTTAGGAGATGAGCCTTCACGAGCAGCATTGGATACAAGAGAGGTCATTGACAGAAGCTGCTTCTGGGCTGACGTTCAAACTGCCTTCGCTACTACGTACGCAAGAAGATCACCTGGTAAATCCTCTCCACTTTGAAGACGACTTCTTCAAAGACCCTCAGTGACTAAAGCCCTTTCAGCGAAAAAGCTTTTCGAGATGTGGAAGGACGTCAATAAGCACTACATTGTTGCTGAAAAGAAGTTCACAACATCAGTCCAGCACGAAAACGAGTTCAGAAATTTGTTCAAGGCCGTGGATACGTACTCTACTTGCAAAAATGGCTGACAGTACGTAAATTGTATAGTTTTGCAGTGCTTTATGATACTTACACACTGTAAAAATCATGGTATATACTGGCAGGTGAAGCATGAGCTGACAAACGTACTAAAGGAGGCTTGCTACCTGAGGATAAACTCGACACTTTAACAATAAATCCTCGCAAACCTCGGAGTCAAGTACCAAGGAAACAACCCCTTCCAAATCAAAGCGCAAGAGCGCCGAGACACTCAAGCGCCTTGTTATTGCATTTGACAACTATGTAAGCGACCGCAGGGTAGAAGCAGCGCACGCCAAAGTTGATTGAGACCGAGAGGTGGCCAGATCCCAACTCAAAGAGAAAAGTGCAGTTAGATCGCTGCTGAACGACATTCGTCGTCATCTAAATGACGTCGACAAGGAAATTGCAGCTAGCCGAGCTCGTGAAGGATCGCCTGTCTATTTGGAGGAGGACAGAAACCTTCTACTGCAAGAACGTCAATCCCTGATCGACAAGCTAAGATCTCTTTCAAACTAGCGAGCCAAAAACACCGAAACAAATGATGATAGTTGCATTTTAGAAACAATTATTGAGCTTTTTCAGCACGTCTTCTTGCAATGTTGTGCTCTGGTCGGCGCAGCTCCTTGTTGTCAATGTACTTAACGATGACATCGCGTGTTATCTCATCCGAAAGTTCAACTACCTCCCCTCCGTCTGTCTCGAAATGAGTTTCCAAGAATGACAAGTCCTTGCTCCTATTCCAATTGCGCAATTCTTGTCTTAGAGCTCTGGTAGATCGTTCCGCCGTATCCGGTCTCTCCAATAGATGCTGGGCAATGCAGAAATTATGAAGACGCATGCAACAATGAATTACCTTAGAAGCATTAGCCAAATTGACGCACAGGGACCTCTTTAAAATTCTCCACTTATTCACTAAAAGGCCAAATGCCATTTCCACTCGTATCCGGCATTGACTCAAGTAGTAGTTATAGTTATATCGATCGGGTCTACCTCGCAGTTGCGCTTGGTTATATGGAGTCATCACAACGCGTGTCTGAGGGTATGCATTATCCGCAACAACATAATGGACCACGTATACGCTTTAACTGCTCACACACCGACCATTTAAGAAAAGCTACTGAGTCATTCCTTCCACCAGGAGCTCGGCACGCCAAAGCAGTAAAACTGCATTGATGATTGGCACTAGCTTGTACATTTAATCCATAGCGTTGATAGTGCCCCGACAAAAAAGCGACCACACGACCACATTCACGGCGGCGTGTGTGACGGGGTCACACAGCACCTTGCGCTAGAGGAAGTTATCTTCCGAGAGTATACAAACTCTCAGTGAACGGCAGTTCACAGGTCCCCTCTTTAGTTAAAAGAGAGCGAGGTGAGTAGTATGTAAACTGAGTATATTTATGGGTAGATAAAGCTTGGGTTTAATACAAACTATAAGTCACCTATAGAAATGCAATGTCGTTAACCCATGGTTGGCTTTGAACGACCTTGGTACTTTGTACCAAATATTCCGAAGTATGACGTGTCATACTCCTGAAGTGTGAAGTGTCACGCTTCATGTAACCAGATTACACTTAGGGCTACGTACCCCGTTACATCCTCCCCCACTTAGGTTCGGTTTACCGACCAATCAGAATGAAGAGGTGCTCGTCACAAACTCTCATTCTCAAAGTCGAAAACCATCGACTTGGCCGCGCGAGCGCGGCGGAGGCTCACTTCACAGTTAGAGCCTCGAGCAGCAGTCTGTGCGCTCTTCTTCAAGGTCTTCACTTCGGCCGTTTTTCATGCCTCGTGGCACTGCAAAGAGCGGTGCTAAGACACGCTCCAAGGCTGCTGCCGGGAAGGCGCAAGCCAAGAGCACAAAGATTCACGGCAAAGGCTCGGCCCTAAAGGAGGCTACTCAGGTGGCCTCCGAGGCGATCGGTTACTCGGGTGACGCGGTAGTGGGCAAGCGAGCAAGCAAGCGCCGCAGCCCGTCGCCCTCGGCCTCTCCAGACAACCGTCCGAGCCCTCGGTTCGTAGAACGTGAGTTCAACTCTGGCAGTGAGGACGAAGCCGAGTCCGAGAGCACGCACGATGCTCCTGCGGGCTCTGTGGGAGGGCACAGCCCAGTGCTCAGTGAGCACAAGGATGACAGCGTGCAGTCGCTCGCTAGTGATCAAGGTGATCACAGTCCCAGGACGTCTGTGCGCTCAGCGAGTCCGGCCGTCAAGGCTAAGGGCACTCCCAAAGCCGGTGGCGATGAGGAAGAGAATCCTCGCAAACGTCTCTCGCTTGCCGAGGGTCTTGCGCGTGCTAAGGCATCTAAAGTCGATGGCGCCAAGCCCTCAAAGAAGCGTATAGCCTCTTAGTCTCCACTCCGCGAGGAGAAGGAGACTCAACACACCTATCATAGTATCTTCAACTCCTCGGGTGAAGAGGAGGAGAAAGAGGAAGAAGAGGAGGAGGAGGGTGCTATCGCTGAGCCCCAGGAGGTCTCGAATGACCTCGACCAGCAGCAGGAGGAATTCCAAGCTGCCCAGCGTGTGCGTGGGGGTTCGGTGGTGGCACCCGTCAGCCAGGGAGCTGCCATCAACTCAAGAGGGTATTGGCCTCCCGAGGAGAGCTCTGGGGCTGACCTCTTCTTAAAGCTTCTCGTCGCTCCTCGTGACCTTGTGGACGGCCACACCTCTAGGGGCATCTACGAACGTGCCCTTGTTCAGAAAGAACAGTTGCTCGTTGACAACTTGGAGGCTGCTCGGTGTGTGCTTCTCGCGCCACACCGCATCCCTCTTAAGGTCTTCACGACTTGTCGTAAGAGGCCCAAAACCCGGGGTGGTCTCTATCCTCTTTGAGGATACTCCTGGGTAACGCCCGAGAGCTGTCCCACGTGGAGTTCTTGTGAGGACATGTTCTGGACATGGGTGGAGTCTCTTAAGTACTCACCCACGGAGTTACGGGAACTCCATGAAGATCAGCTGTTGTCCCGCATCCTGGACCAGCGTGATCTTCGTGGTTTGTTTGCCCACTTGGTCATCAAGCGCATGCTGCCAAGGGACATCTTGAAGCGCGCGGCTTCCAGCGCTCACGATGAGCGCGGGTACGGAATGATTTCATCGTCCGTACCCCGTTCGGGCAAGAAGCCCCGGAGTACTTATGAAGCTGCCGCCGCTTCTGCTCCCAGATTGCGACAGCCTTCGGGCAGTCAATTAGGGGCCGTTCAATCGGCTCCCACGAGTTCTCGGAGTGGGTAAAACCCCTCCACTTCACGAGGAGCTGTCGCTTACCGCGACGCCGTTGCTTCTGGAGGATCCGCTCCACGTGGAAGTAAACTTCTCCATTTCGGTCAAGCAGGGGCTAAGGTGCCCTCGTACGAGTACGAGTACTCGGCGCCTCCCGAACGCCACTCTCGTCCGAGTGCTCCGGCTGCGGGTCCGACACAGGGCCCTGAGGTTGACCGCCTCCGTTAACATGTCCTCGTGCTTGAGATTGCATTTGGCCTTGGGACTGGCGGTGATGCTGCCGCCCAGACCGGGAGTCAGGGCGAGCGCGCTCGTCTTGCGGGCCGCCTGGACCTGTTGAAGCGAGAGGTCGCGAGCCTGCATCTGCGGGCGGATCACCGGGCCTCTTCGTCCGATCTGGACGAGGCCTTTCGCATGATCCAACGGATCGAGGCTCTGCTGCCACGTCCAGAGCCGCCTGCGGCACAATCCTAGACGTACGCGTATGGTGCGTACCCGGCGTACTCAGCGTACTCGGCGTATGGCGCCGGGGTCCGTTCGTATAAAGCCCCTCCGGCGTACGGTCTTGACCGCAGCCTTGCCGTCCCGACCGAGGCTTGGGTGCCTGCTCCGACGCCCTCGTCGACGACTGTGACCGGCCCTCGCTTCGAGGAGCTGGGTCAAGGGGGGACTGCGAGTCGGCAACCCCCTGCGGGTCAAAGTACCGCTTAAGACGTCCGACATAGAACGTCGGGTGCGTCGTCATTGACTTTGGAAGGTCTATGGTGTACGACGCACCATGTCTGGCCAGGACTGCAAATGGTCCGATGAAGCGGTGCTTCAGCTTGTTGCTGCCGACATAGCTGACAGTGTCAAGATGTAGGTTCCTCGTGTCTAGCAACACTAAGCCCCCCACCTTAAATATACTTAAGTTTCCTCTTCCATGTTTGTCTGAGTACTCCTTTTGTTTATCTCGGGCCGCTGCCATGGCATCGCGGACCCTGCTGACAACGCTCAGCTTGGTATCCATAAAGGATTCCACCTGTTTCCGCAGCGAAACTGGTCTCACATCCGAGACCTGGGAGGAAAGGGCTTTCCGAGCCTCTCCCCCACTTAGAATAGAGAAGTCAGTGTCTCCTCGAAGAGTGAGAGGCACTCTGGGGTGACGGAAGCCGTTCAAGTAGAACGGCGTGAGCCCTGTGGACGCGTGCACCGCGTTGTTGAGCGCAAACTCAACAACTGGAAGCTGCGTCGACCACGTACGTGGTGCTGCCGCGCACATACTGCGCAGAGTGTCCTCGAGCACTCGATTGACGCGCTCTGTCTGGCCGTCTGTCTGCGGATGGTCCGCAGTGGACATCTGCAGACGAGTTCCCAGTAAAGGGAACAGCGTTTTCCAAAACGCAGCAGTGAGCCGCGGGTCTCGGTCCGAGACAAACGTCTCCGGGAGACCGTGATATCGGAACACGCCATCAACGAACAACCTTGCGGTTTGTTCGCCCGTAACCCGGACGGGAACCGGAGCAAGATGTACCATCTTGCTCAGCCGACATACGAACACCAAAATTCCGGTGTTGCCGTGTCCGTCGGCGGGAAGCCCGAAGATGAAGTCAAGACTCATCGACTTCCAACAGTCAGCCGGTACAGGCAGGCTCTGTAGTGGAGCCGAAGAGTGCCCTGCGGGCTTGACCCGCTGACATATTTCGCATGTCTTAACGTACCGGGCAACCCACTTGTACATGTGGGTCCACCAGAAGGTCTGAGATACCTACAGATAGGTCTTCTCGGGGTTCAAGTGGCCACTGGAG